AAAGCAGAGGACCAGTTTCCAGAACCTCTGTGAGACACGACAGAGGTTCTGTCCCTTGAGACTTGTTCGCTTGAGCATCTTCTGCAGTTGGTCCTCTGTGATCTTCTGTGACAGATCATCTTCTGTCAAAACTTGCAGTTTACTTTTTCCATACTTTTACATGAAATGAAATGAGAGCTAACAGAAACGTCTTTATCCAAATTTCCCTCCCACAATGTTAACTGTTTTGGAGACTGGTACGAAGAGTGTATCGGAGACTGGTTCAAATTTAGAACCAAAAACCTATCATGATCAAAATCATTTGTTGGTTCAAAAAATTCAGTCGGTTGGGTTTGATAACGTTTCCTTGCTCTCGGCACCTTCGACACATGAACAAAATTATCAAGTTCATTCATCACAAAAGCACCATGTTGATTGATTCTGGCAACATTGTAGGTATGGGCGCCATTATAACTAGCAAATAAACTAGCGGTTTGATTGATTCTTGCAGCAAAATATGCATTTCCCTCACTACCACCGAGGAAGAAACTAGTCGGTTGATTTATTTCGACAACAAAATATGGATTTAATCCACTAGCATCAGGGAAGAAATAACCTGATTGATTGATTATGGTAGAACCGTAGAGATTTCCACCACTACCACCAGGGTAAAAATTATATGTTTGATTGATTCCAGAAGGACCATATGGGTTTGCACCACTACCGCCAGGGAAAACATACTTGGATGATGGATTACGGCATTTAATGGATCTCCACCATCACCACCAACATCGATAACAAAGAGTGTCAAAATTTGCGATAAATCTTGAAGAACAATGTTTTGGAGCATCATCACATAGTCTTCGTCACCTAGATCAAATAACTCACAACTCAAAGGATTTTTATAAAATAACCTAAAACGACTACGTAAACTTAACTTTTTTGCAACACGCTTAACCAAACCAGAATGTGTTATTGGCGAAGACAAAAGTAATATAGGTTTGGGCACTCCTAATGACATATACTCTATTAGCACCATTTATCGTTTGGAATGAATTGCCACTTTGAACATACATGAAACCATTATCATTTTGATGTAATATATATTTGTATTAAGGGTTGTGATGGTAGATTGTGTTTAAGGGTTAAGGGTTGTGATAGTAGAATTGTTTGGATTACTACATTTCCATGTTTGGGTTACTACAATTATATGAACTATATTTGGTCCTAGAAAAGATAAAATACCAATGAAAATCCCCCCATGTTTAGTCACGTCGTCATTGAGGTGTTAAATCAACCAAAAAGTTGCCTCATAGAATGTCTCCACTATATGACAGAATAAGGGTCGAAATTGCCCTTCAGGGGCCATTTTCAATAGTGTGGGGCGATTTTGATGAACATGTCCAAAAAATAAGATTTTTGTCCCCCAAATGATATACATGTGGGACCCATCCCTACCTCAAAATTACAAATTCGCAAAATCGCCCCCAATAAAGTAAATCACCCTCCAGGGACGATTTTTGTGGTCATTTTATGAGAAAAGTCTAAAAAATGGTCATTTTGATACTGTACCATGTATAAAGTGGTCATTTTGCGTAATTTCTCTTTTAGGTGTTATCTACCAAATCTTTCTAGGAGAATATTTAATATTGTGGTCTTGTTGATGTAAAAATGGCAAAAGAAGCCCTTCCAAAGCAAAAACAATGGTCATAAATTTAACACCAATCAACTTCTTACCTCTCAACTTTGAACTTGCAGGAAAAAAGGAGGAACAAAACACAAACCAAACTGCACATCTAATCAAAAAACCACAAGAGGACCCACCAGTCCCACCCCTTTTGTGATTAACCCTCCCTCGTCTTAGACCCCTTCTTCCGATGAACTTAATCATTAGATATCGCTTTTGAATCTCTCCCTGTAGATAACAAATCACACCATAAGATTAATGGATCTAGGTGTAAATATTCCTTAAGAAATAGAAGTTAGATAAAGTGGTTGGAGAAGTTGATTCATGTTCATCCTCATCATGAAGACAGGACGACAACATGGAAACCAGGGATGATAGTAAGAAGTGAGTTATGAGGACACAAATTACAAGTTTGAGAGAAGCTGCATTTTTTTCATTTTAGCAGTTTGTTTCAATATATAAGGGTAATTTTGGAATAATAATAGATGATTGTATATAACGTATGTATTTCAACTAAGCGAATAAGCACTCGATTGAAGGAAGAAACCACATCCGAACAACTTTCTATACAACAAATAAGGCGCACATGAACAACCCCTTAGATAGATAACCATTCATCAATTGTATCACTTATACAATTGTCAATTTTTTATGGAATACATGATATCTATATGCCAATGGTATGTTTAATTCCATCTATGTTGATTCGTTATAATTAATTGAGGCACTTCTTACAATTTTAAGTCATCTGCTTAAACATCCATGCAATTTGCTTTAAATCTGACTTGAAATTTATGAAAATCACCTTGTCTCCCTAAGATCATCCATGTGGTTGGCCAAGACTATCTCCACAAGAGATTATCAATGCTTTGAGACATATGACAAAAGTTCTCTTTTACAAGGTATTTTCTGTAAATATTAATTTTTATAACATTTTATTTTATAAAAAGAAATTATACCCGACAAATTTATGCATACAAAATCGATTTTTACAATCTTGTAACGATTATGTTGAAGTCTTTTGTTTCGGGTTTTATTTAGTCAAACATTTCCTTGGCCTTTTTTTTGTTTTCAAAACAAAATCAACCACGAAACAAAATGCATCGCAAAGTTTTTCGTAAATTATTCACGAGTCAATGTGAATAACCAAGGTTCGGTCTGGGACATGTCGAAAGAATCATTGTGATGCCTACAAACTCCCACTTTAATTGCCATCTTCATGACTCCTTTTGGTTGCATATTGCCTTCTATTGGATTTACGTAATGATCTACAATGATAAAATCTATTCTCTTACTATTACAATTACAAAATCCCGTTTTATTACTTTCACCAATAATGAAAAATCATTTCTCAAGTAAAATTACATCATATGAAAATAACATATTAATACTTTATATTTAAATTTATAAAAACAATTGATTGACAGATTCAAATATAGAATAGTGGAGCCTTATTGATACAGAAGGATACTTCATTAATTTTGAAATTTCCTTTTTATAAAAGGAAGAAGTTCAGAAAAACTCTAACGAACTTTCTTGTTTTTAATGATCAAGTCTCTAATTTTTTTTTATTCAGTAGATGACTGAACTTTCTCATTATGAATGATTAAGTACTCCGGTATTTTTTTTGATTTAATACACAATTGAACTTCTAGAAATTGGTTATTTACATCGTTTTAACTGAAAAAAAGATATATGTAACGACTAAAGAGGGTATTAAAGTGTAAAAAAAAACTTTTTCCAATTTTACCATTCCCAAACTCTATGCCCTTCTAATCCAATGCACCTAACGACATCGCTCTCTCTCGCCACCTCTCATTACCCCATTCCCGTTCTTTCTCCATACCATCCATCACTGTTGTTTGGCCCCTACCATCAGTCTTTCCTTTTTGTCTGTTTCTTTTGTCTTTCAATTCTCTTTTTGTTACAATAATTTAGAAAAGTACATGTCGACGGATAAAGAAGGTAAATTGAAAGACAAAAATGCTATAAAAAGATAGATCAGTTGCAAAAGCAATGATGGGTGGTGATGGAAAAAAGATGACAACGGAGCGATGATAGAAAGTGGATGATAATGGGACGATGGCACTGGATGTCACGAATTTTAATAACGTAGGATTTGGAAATAGTAAAACCAATTTATATTTACTTTTACTTTAAAACATTCCTAGCCAACTAGAGGTAACCTTTTCAATCAAAATGACCTCCATAATCAATTTCTAAAAGTTTCCATCATTCATAATTTAAAAGAAAAATATCTTTTTAATAATTTATTTATTAAAAAAATAAAAAACTTAATGTTTCTCCTTTATTAAATATATGACATTAATTATATATTTTAAATTTACATCTCAAACAATTATTATGAAATGAATATTGTATCCAATTTTATTTTTTTGGCAAACAACACAATAATTAACAACTCAACTTTTCCAACATGGTAATTATCCTACTCACTTTGCCATACGAACCACATATGAAGAACCAGACTCCAGAATCACGTTGCCGGCGCCGGCTCTTCGGCGGGTTGCAGAATACTCACAGTAGTTTCTGATCGCCGTCAGTTCATACGGCGAAGTATCGGTGGCCAACCACTGCTCCACCTCAAACTGCTGCTGTGCACACTGCGAGTGAACTCCGGTGGCCGTCACCTCCACGTAGTTACAGTACCATCCATGGCCGGACCCCGTCCCATCGGAAGTCAAATTCATCTCGCATGGCGGCCCAGTCAAACACGGCCCTCGACCACTAAATAGATCCAGATTTCCTCTCTCGAAGTAATCATAGCCGGAACCCATTAAGCCGCCCCATGCCTCGATGTCGGAGATCCTGATGCCGTAGCCGGCGGCGTCGTAGAGTGTGAGGCTCATTATGGAGTCCGACCCACCTTTCCAGATGCTACCAGTTCGTATGTAGACGCTGTAAATGCAGTCTGGATCATCCTCCTGCAACCATTAACACAAACTGTTAGGTCTGAAAAAGAACAAACGATGGTTAGATGGATGTGGGTTTGGTGGACTTACGGATCTGCAGAAGGTGGTTGTGGAGATCAGAATGAAAATGGCGGTGAAAAATAGATGGTTGACCACAGATCCTCCCATGGCTGTTCTTGATGATGATACCTTGTTTTGGGTTTGTTTCTATTGGTATATTATAGTTATATTATATATATATAAAGTAGTGGAGTTTGGTAGGAGAGTATATATATCATATGTGTTCTAGATGGGTGACTTCAATGTGGTGGATTTAAATTTATGGACACATGTTAAAGTTTGTTTGGATCCACTTGTATTTTATTCACCAATGTCGATTCAATCGTGTTAGAAAATTTAATGTTTGATTTGACATATACTTAAAAAAAAACTGTACTATTGTTGTGTTAACTCAAAGTGAATAACTGGTTTGGTTTGTTATTAAAGATAGTAACATACCATGATCTGTATCTGCCATCATTTTGGTGTACTGTTAACTCAAGGGGGAAACCCTTACAGACGTCGTTCAATTAGTAAGATCTTGAGTTTGTTTCATACCCAATGGTCTTCGGTTCGAGTTTTCCTATAGATATTGGATGTTTGTTTGATTGTTAACTTCAGGACTTGTTAAATAAGTTGAGGTATGTGTAACTTGATCGCTACATTCAAGATTATCCAAAAAAGAAGCTAAGAAGGAAAGGACTCCAACGAACATCCACTAATGAAATTTTAATACATGTGTCCTTTGTTCACTATGTTTATAGGATAAAGAACCTCACGGATCTTTGGATACCTAAAACACATCTTTTATTGATGCAAGTCAACTACTCGTCTTAATGCAACGGAACTCGTAAATAATACGTAAAGGTTCTTATATTGATTGTTTCTTAATAGATAAATTAAGAACAGGGGAAATGAGATTAACAACAGAAGAAGGATCACCTAGAACTCTATTGATCTTTGAGCCATGATGGACACTAGTAGTGCCAAGAGCCACATACCGAAGCAAGAACACGGCTAGAAAAGAAACATACTTCTATCTCGGATATATATATATATATATATTTATATATATATATATATAACTTGTCATTTTAAACTTTTTTATATATTATCATTTAACTTATTAACTGTATTTTTATCAAGCTTAATAAATTTATCTGCTAATTTATTAATCAATAGTTAACTTATTAGCTATTTTACCATACTAATATCAATACCTTATTTGTGAAGAGATGCAAAATAAGGACAAAATATATATAAAAAAAAGTATTTGAAAAAATATTGTAGTGGTAATGTGGGATATTCTCAAGTTTATTCCACGAAGGGGCAAATTGTAAGAGATTCAAATCAAGGGGTTAAACATGGACAAGGATGGAACTTATGCGCACCCAAGATGTCGGCCGGTTGATTGAAGCCTTTATGTGTGTGAATTGTTATTAAAAAAGAAATGTATTTTAGTTTAGTCTTGAATTACGGATTTAGTCCCTATAGTAATGATGAAAATTATAACTAGCGGTCCTGAACTTGAAATATTATAGATATGGTTCTTGTGGTTGTTATTTTCTTATAATTAAGGTTCCTCTCAGTAACAGTCATCAAACAAATTCAGTAATTCAATTAACTCAGAGTTTAAATGTAACACACCATTTTTCATATTTGCATATAAACATGTACTTCATATATTAAGAAATACAATTACACCACTTTGATTTCACTAGTACAAGGAATTATAATACAAAATTTACAACTCAAAAATTCCAAAATAAACTTCTTATACATTACATGTATAAACAACATGTATTAAAAAATCCATCAAGTAACAGGCTGATCTTCAAAATAGTAGTTAAGCACGATATAAAAATAATCATATTTTCTCCTTCCCCTTATCCTTAGATCCAATCTGACTTACAATGCGTATTTTAAAACACAAAATGAGGGTTAGACCATGAGATCTAGTGAGATAACCCCTTCTTTGCAATTACAGGGTGAAGATCACCAAAACCTGTTTAAAAACCACATTCGAATACCCAATCACTTTAAATAAATATAACTTCAGTAAAACCACAACTGCAAGTTATAAAACGATCTTACCACGTAAGAAGTATAACCACTCAGGTTCTCACAGACATCTAGAACACAACTCTCAAAGCTCTCAAGTCCTATCAGACTACAACTTACGGTCTCAACCTCCAAATCATACCAAGAAATACCAATCTCCAGAGTTCTTGGTTATCAAAAGCTTTTAAGATAAAAACAATTTTATATTCAAATGAAAACTAATTAAATAATAACCAACAACCCCCCAGTTTTATTTCAAACCACTACTCTTTTGAATATTCAAAATAGGATATCATATATCACAAAATCATTTGAAACACAGGCAATTAATGCGTCCGGCTATAAGTCATTTTTCCCTTCTCAATAACATCATTGTTATCATTTCAATAAGAGCAATATTTCCAAATCTTCATGTCACAAAGAAATGTCCACTCAGAATTATCGCATCTTATGGATGTGACAACAAGAGCTATAGTAACCACACACACACAAATGCCACCCTTATCCAAATGTACACATATCTTCGATATGCCACATTTATCCAATGGTACACCTCTCCTTGATATGCCACCCTTATCTCATGGTACACCTTTCCTTGATATGTCACCCTTGTTTCCTCATCAAATCTATAGATAAATCTGTAGTTTTAGCCAATAATGGCCTCAGAACAGTTTCATATCAGAAACTTTATCTCAAGAACTCTCATAGTTCTTAGATTCACTTTTCAATCTCATCTTAATAATTCTTTCAAAAACAGATTTCTCATATCAAGAGTTTTGAAAGAAACAACAGTACATTTCCTCAATTTAAATCAACATTTGAAAGATACAGATTACCCTTCTCAACATAAAACAGTTTTGAAACTGTTAGACAACATTTTGGAAAACAACAATTTTTATTGGACAAGCTCTGGGAGTGGGCGATAACTGCCTCTCATTGGCCAACACTATGGTCGATAACCCCTTTCATTGGATAACACTATCTGGATAAAACTTGGAAAATATAAACATACTCACCGGTCAACAATATGTCCAGTACCAACCTCACCGATCAACATTGTGTCCGAACAACCTCACCATCAACACTGTGTCCAGTAACAACACTCACCGAACAAGGCACTGAATGATAAACCCCAATCCGGTAAACACTATAAGATCTCAAACATTAATCCGTTCAACACTTTGGGCGAAAAAATGCACAAACCGGACAACTCTTGTCCGATAAAGGCCTTCATCGAACAACACTTCGTACAGTAAAGTCCTCACCGGAGGATACAATAAACATATAACTCTCTCACTGGTCAAGGCATGACCGGTAAGGGGCCCTCATCGAACAACACTATGTCCGATTACAGTCCCTCATCGGACCATGCATTTGCATAAGAACAAATATATGATATACATACAACAACAGTTCAAAACATGAAAACCTGTATTCATAATCAAATTCAAAGGTTGTTTTGTAGTAGAACTCACCTTATGCAAGTTTTAAGAATGAAAAACAGCAATAACAATTAGCTACCAAATTGATCCCACAATCAGCTTCTACTTTAGCAAGGAGGTCACACATACAAACTCACTTTCTCTTCTTTTCCTGATTCTTTCTAAAAGGGGCAAGAAAAAGTCTTCTTCGAATTGTTGGGAAATTGCTCTATCTTAATGGCCTAGACTATTTATATTAATATTTATGTTAATCTCATATTAGTGATAAATGTTTAATTTAATTATCTTAGTTATGACTTAATTACATACAAGTCCTCCTATTATCTTGATGGACGATACCGGTCCTTGTAACCGACTGTAACTAACTAACTAACTATATATATATATATATATAGGAGCGATCAAATGAAAACCACTCCAATTTGTAAAAACCGTAAAAACTACTGTTAGCTCTCATTTCCTTAAATGTAAAAGTATAGAAAAAGTAAACTGCGAGTATTGACAGAAGATGATCTGTCACAGAAGACCACAGATGACCAACAGCAGATGATGCTCAAGCGTTCAAGTCTCAAGTGACAGAACCTCTGTCGTGTCTCACAGAGATTCTGTAAACTGGTCCTCTGCAGAGACATTGCTACAAGTCAAAGACGACAGAACCTCTGTCGTGTCTCACAGAGGTTCTGCAGCATGTCTTCTGTATAGATCTTCTTTAGCTGTTTTACTTAGGTTTATTAGCTGCTCGTGCTTATCACGTGTTCTTGTCTGTAATCTAGGTTTATTAGCTGCTCGTGCTTATCACGTGTTCTTGTCTGTAATCTGTTTTGATCGAACGACTTAGATTAATTTACTTTTAGGTCGTGTTAGGAAACGGTTATCGTCATGGTGTTTGGTGGCTTTTGCCTTGCAAGTATCAAGGGGAGCCTTTTCCAATCTCTTCAGAATTTTGGTGGCCGCCTTCTTCATTTTCTTGATCACCTCTTCAGCAAGCACAGAGGCGTGGCTTATGTCAATCTCTATCGACCACTTCAACTTTGAGATGCTTTGATAAATTTCGCTTATGAAGGAGTCACCCTCTTTCACGAGCTTTGAAGTGCAATCTCTGATGGCTTTGTTTGCTCACGATATCTCCTAGGGCTTCAACCATCGCATCTAGCTCTCTGCGAGTGGCTAGATGGTTGATATTTGCTCTGGAGGATTTGGTGTCGATGCCGTAGGTGACCGCAGAGGAGAACATGTTCTTGATCTCGTCCTTGAATGTGGAATAGTCTGTGTAGCCGGCAGAGATGAAATCAACAGCAAAATAGGCGGCCACCTCTGATAGCTCTGTCTTTAGCTTATGGATCGAAGAGGGGTTGAGTGACAGAGAGCTAAAGGCTTCTGCGAGGTCATCTTTTTGAAGGACATAGCTCTGAAGGGTTGCAAGAGTCGTCTTGAGTTTTGCGGTTGTGGATGACAACTCCTTCAGAGCCTCTGTGATGGGGGCAAGATCTTCTGTCATAGAGCGAGAGATGAACAAGCTTTTCAACTCGTCCATCTTTTGGAATACCGCTGTGGCAAAGGTTTGTAACTCCCCCTTTGTCACGTAGGCATCTTGGGAACCTAGATCACCAACACATGGTGACCTAGTAGCCTCGGAGTGAGAGACGCCCTCAGCGACTGGTTTTTCGTAGTCTGCTCGGGAACTTCCACCGGATCCT